GGATGGGGGGAACCAGCAGTGGGAGGGATGGAGCAGCAACGTGCTGCTTGTACCAGGGTGTTTGGATGGATGTTGGGGTGGGGATGTAGGATCCTACCTGCTCCTGCTGCCCCATTCCCCCAAGAACAGCCTCAGGGGTAGAGTGGGTCTGTGGGGGGTTATGGGGTGCAGGAGGCCATGGGGAGATGCAGACAGGTCCCATGCACAGATAAATTTTTCCCCTAAAGAGCCATTTGACCTCTTCAGGGACAGATTAAAGGGGGAAACCCTCAAGTAGCACCTTTAGATCTCCCATAGGAGACACTTGGAGCACCACGCTACCATCTCAGTCATAAAGCCTCAGCCCTGCATCCCTGTGCCCCTCTGCTCCTGCCTGTCTTCCTGCAATCCCAAATTCAGTGCCAGAGATCAGGAATTCACACTGGGAAGCGACTGCTTACTGAAAAGCCCTCGGATCCTTCCTGCTCCATGCAACGAGCTCAAGTGCATACGGGTGTATCTGTATGTAAAACAGGGGTTTTATTAAATAGGCAAACAGCTACAAAGGCAAACTCAAATATTAGGTCTCCCAAGCTGTCAGTATAATGATGATTTAACCCCAGGTTATATACTGAGTTGTCACTCTCTTGTTTGAAAGCTGTTTGCAGCAATAATAGATGGGCTTGCCAATTCCAGCCATGGAAATTAGTGAGGAACATCCCCAACCTGCTATGACCCCCCCCACTCCGCACCCCGCTTTTCAGCACCCTCCATCATTAAGGACAAACGCACCATCAGCAGCCCCAGAACACACCGGATCCATCACATCCCTGTCCCAGGGATGCTGCAGTGTAATGGGAGAGGAACAACAGGTTCACAGGGTGCAGGTGCTCCCTCTCCCTATCACACTGGTGCTAACGAGGTGATGCAGATCAAGGTAGATCCATGAGGCAGTGCAGAGGGTGGATGGGATGCCTGATAATCTGCCTCAAATCCAGCTCCCGCCACAGCATCCGCTATTATCCACGGCATTCCCACAGCTCAGGGCTGCAGCTTAATTACTGGGGCTTTGTGATTCAGTTTATATCAGTGTCTGGCATGAGCTGCTGCTGGTGGGAGCCTGGAAATAGCTCCGTGCCTTTTGCTTCTTCACTTCTTTCTCTCTATTTCTAAATAGCTTTAAGAAAGCCGTTTTCTATAGCTTTCTAACCAAGCTATCAATAAATAGCTCAGCACTTGTGGCCAGCTCTCCATTGCCCCCGTGCCAGCCCCTGCACGAAGCATTGCTTGGGCTGGAACCCTCAGGAACCCCCCAAAATGTCCCTGGCTGCAGGGATCAGCTCTGCTCCTGCACCCTAACACAGGCAGAGGACTCGGTCATTCCTCGCGTTGGGAGTGAGAGGCTGTGGGTGACCCAGAGAAACCAACACATAAATAAGTGTGACACCGGTGTCATAGTCAAGAAGGCCAAATGGTGAAGGATGTCCCAACTTAACTGTGCATGAAATTGGATAGAGGCAGTGGCTCGGTCCATGCCTCACCGCAGAGATTTGTGTGCAGCAGTAGGGATGGGATTGCTGCCTGGTTGGGAAGGACAAACTCATCCCATAGGGCTGACTGATCACACCAGGGAGCAGCCATCAATGGAGCCAGGCCCTGGCTCTGGATCACTTAGAAGACATACAAGGTTTCCTGGTTGGGATATTCAAATCCCTCTTATGAAAGCACTTCCCAGGGCAGGGCCTCTCTGGGTACAAAGTGCTCCCAACACAGCTAAAACCATTGTGGTAGTACCAATATACTTTAGGACTTTAACAGGAGTAGCTATATGCATAGATAGGACATAGGGAGAGTGTCACATTTTGCCATAACAGGTATCATCCATGGTGGGTGCCCACCCAGCCACTCGTCTCAGGAGCCTGACAGTGGAGGGGCCTTCCTAGACAAATCCTCTGCCCAATCTTCCCATG